ATCTTGCCATTTGCAACGACGTGGATGGAACTGGAGGGTGTTATGCTGAGTGAAATAAGTCAATCAGAGAAAGACATGTATCATATGACCTCACTGATATGAGGAATTCTTAATCTCAGGAAACAAACTGAGGGTTGCTGCAGTGGTGGGGGGTGGGAGGGATGGGGTGGCTGGGTGATAGACATTGGGGAGGGTATGTGCTATGGTGAGCGCTGTGAATTGTACAAGACTGTTGAATCACAGACTTGTACCTTTGAAACAAATAATGCAATATATGTTAAGAAAAAAAAAAAGAAGAAGATAGCAGGAGGGGAAGAATGAAGGGGAGTAAATCCGAGCGGGAGACAAACCATGAGAGATCATGGACTCTGAAAAACAAACTGAGGGTTCTAGAGGGGAGGGGGGTGGGGGGATGGGTTAGCCTGGTGATGGGTATTAAAGAGGGCACGTTCTGCATGGAGCACTGGGTGTTATGCACAAACAATGAATCATGGAACACTACATCACAAACTAATGATGTAATGTATGGTGATTAACATAACAATAAAAAAATAAAAAAGAAAGAAGGTTACCAGGCTTAAAGGCAATTGGCATCTACTCATCTGTTACTTCTAATAGTCCTAACACACAGTAAGAAGTATTTATTTTGTTGCTCAGACTCTAAGATTGGCTGTGTCTGTTGCTGGACAACTTTCCTAATATGGTAAAATGAAGCTAATCCTCTACTTCAGTTTTGCTGCACATACTCAGATACCAGTTATTTATTTGGAAACAAAATCAGGAAAATTTCAAGTATGTTATTTCCTAATAAAGATAAAAGTACAGACACTATTTCTCTGTCAAGTGAAAATATATTGAAAGAAGCAAAAGTAAGGACTAAAAATATGAAGAGTGAGACTGGACTCAAAATCTTATTCAAAGCCTGAAGATTTCAGACAAAAACAATAATACATTAGAATTCTTACTCACTTTTTAAAGACTTCAGAGCCTCTAATATCCTATTTTGATACACCTTTCCATCATCTGTTTAAAAAAAAAGGCATTGGTTTACGAAACAGGGAAATTCATAAGGGAATTCATAAGAATAGAATTTATTTCTTATATTCAAAAAGAATAATTTGTCCTAGAATTTTGTTCTGTTTTACCTTTAAGTAGCACTAAAGTTAAGGAATGCTGAAATCTTTAAATGTACAAATGTACACTTTGTCTCACATGGCTATTTTTAGCAGAATTCCATCATGCTGAAATACACACGATCAGGTTGTTTCAAGTGTTTCAAGTATTTCACATCCATTTATATACACACGTTGATGTCCCTTGTCCAGTGTCCATTCTTACATTGGGTTGTCTTTTTACTTAACAAAGAGGTCTTTAAGAAGCTCATTATGTCTTTGTCATACCTGATGCAAATGCTTTTTCTAAACCGTGATTTGCTTTTTTTTTCCTCATGCAGTTTTAAATCTTGTGAATTTAATATTTCTGGGTGTTTGATGGTAAATATTTCTGCAATTGATTCAGAAAAAAAGTGTGCACACGTGTGTGTGTTGGGGAGAGAGAAAGAGAGGGTGTGAATAAATGATAAAACAAATGGGTAAACTGAACAAATTGGTTAATCTTGGTAAAGGGAGTTCTTTGTACTATTCTTAAGACTTTTCTAAGTTTGAAATTATGTCAAAATAAAAATAAAAAGTTAAAATAATAGGAAACAAAAAACCCAACCATCTAAAAATATTAAAATTCTTTTTAAGCAACATTTGGGTCATTGCTTATCTTATCATGGCAGGTTTTCACTGGAGAGTTCAGAGTCTCAAAACAAAATCTATATGACACTAACAGAGCTTTATAAGTTTTTAGTTTAAGCTTTTTATTTTAATATGGTTTGAGACTTACAGAAAGTGGCAAAAATAGTACAAAAAATTCTCATACTCTTCACCCAGATTTTTCAAGTGTTAACATTTTACCATATTTCTTTTATCATCCTTTCTGTATATGAATGTTATTTTTTTTTCTGAATGTTTGTAAGTTGCAGACACAATGCCTTTAACCCCTGAATACTTTAGTGTGTATTTTCTTTAAAAAAAAAGTATGCAACTGATGACTCACTAAATTCTACCTCTAAAATTAGTAAGATAGTATATGTTGATTAAATTGAATTTAAATAAAAAAATTAAAAAATATACACATACATATATATACACACATATATATACTTCTCTCACACAACCACAGTACAATTATCCAAATAAAAAGATTAAAATTGGTGCAGTACACTTAACTGATGTACAGAATTTACTCAAATTTCACCAATTTCTCCATTGATGTCATCTATAGCAAGCATTAAGTTGTCATGGCTCTTTATTCTTTTTTTTTTTTAAGACTTTATTTATTTATTTATTTGAGAGAACGAGAGAGAACACAAGCAGGGGTGGGGGAGTGAGAGAGGGAGAGGGAGAAGCAGGCTCCCCACTGAGCAGGGAGCCAAACTCGAACGCGGGGCTCAATCCCAGGACCCAGGGATCATGACCTGAGGCAAAGGCAGATGCTTAACTGACTGAGCCACCCGGGGGCCCCTTTTCATCCTTTAATGTGGGACAATTCTTCAGTCTTTGTATTTTGTGATTTTCACATTTTTGGAGAGTACAAAACATCACTTTGTAAAACATCCTCCAATCTGGGTGACAGGTTTTTAAAATAACCCAAAGTTTCTACTTCCCAGTAGTCTTTAGGCCTTCCCTCTCAGGCTTGAACAAAGTCTAGTTGCTAAAAAGGGTCCAGCTGCATTTTTTAGGCTTACCCCTAATGGGCAGTGCTTTCACCAGCTTTGTATATTCCGGATCAGCGAGTTCAATCCCCATATTTTTCAGTACATTTTCCAAGTTATCGATATCAACCTTTTCACCTTCAAAAAGTTAGAAATAGGTGTACATATTATTGATGATCCCAAATTTTAAGTTGAATAGCAAAAGTACAATGCAGTCCTCATTCATTACATAGTCTTGAAACCTTAGTTGATCTTTCAATACTAATAGGTAAGGGATTTTTTTTTTAATTTTGGGAAAAAATAAATTCATTTCTATTACTGTTCAAATTAATCCACATAGGTGGGTAATGTAAGAAAGTGTTACATGATTTTATTAATAATGTAATTGTTGACAATGTTAACTCAATCCTTCAAAAATCTACAGTGTCATTTATTGTGCCTGACTAGAGTTTCATGCAGGGAATCATTTTATTAGGTAGTAAAGCTCTACAGAATGCAGGATCTTACTAAGATTTAGTCCTGTAGGTATTTTTTGTATTTTTTTTAAATTTTTACTTCCTTTTGCCAAACTTAAATTTATATAATCTAAGACAAAACTTTCTATTGGATCTAGTGGCAGGATATTGGGAAAACACCACAGAAAAACAGAAATTATTGTAAAGCCTTGGGGGCCGCCAGGATATTACTAAAGTATCACTAACCTGTGAAAGATTTCACTGCATCCATTACCTGTTTTATATCAACTTTTCCATCAACTGAAAGACAACATACAAATTACACTCATATGTAACATTAGAGAAGAGAAAATGAGCCAAAAGAATTTAGTAATTATCACCTGCTCTAGAATCTTATTCTATTTTCCCCCTTCATTAGTGTGAAGAAGAAAAAGGTTTTATACCTCACAAACACAGTTAATGTGACATTAACTTTTTTGCTTTAAGATATTAAAAATTTTAGTCATAAAAGAATGATATATAAAGGAAATTCCTTCTATCCTAGCTGCTTTTTAGCATTTAGATCTTAGAAAATTATTTACCTAGGCTATTGGGAAAAAAATCAAAAATTAATATCTACAATATTTCAGTGTTTTAAGTTTTGAAAATTTCCATTCATGTAAAGTCAGCCCACACTCATTACTTATTCATTGTTACTATTAAACTGAAAAGACTTCATCAACCCTTTAAATTATATGTGCAAGTTGGTAATTATTTAAGACATACTAGAGGTTAACTGTAGCCTTCAGATATATAATAGATATTCAATGGTTTGTTGTATCAGTTTTAATTTTTTTAAAGATTTATTTAATTTGAGAAAAAGAGTGAGTGAGCATATGGGTAGGGAGGGGCAAAGGGAGAGGGAGGGAGAGAGAGAGAATCTCAAGCAGACTCCCCACTGAGTGCAGAGCCTGATGTGGGGCTCTATCTCATGACCCTGAGATCACGACCTGAGCCGAAACCAAGAGTCGGATGCCTAACCAACTGAGCCACCCAGATGCCCCTGTATCAGTTTTTAAAGGGACAATAAAATAGAAATATTACATAGAATTAGCTCACTAAATCAGAATCTCAATTGTACTATGTTTCTAGAAGAGAAAAGCAGCAAAAACATTTTTGCACTTTTATTTTCTGAATATTTACCTATTGTTTGACTAACAGCAGAAGACAAATTTGAAATGTAAACTACATTATTGAGAAAATATAACTAATAAGGGCAATACAAAAATCCATTATGATCTCTGATGGGCATGTTGAGCTAAAAGAAGGTCTTCAAGGCAAAAGTTGACTGGCTCACGTCTAGAATCATGTTTTTCTATATGTTATTGTAAATTCAAGCAACAGACAAAATAAGGAAACAAAACACACATGTTGCACTAGTGGATCAAAAATAATGGAAAATAAAAGAGTAATTTAACAAAAGGTCTTCTAGAAGGAGCTTATCTCTGACAGATGGAAAGTAAGAAATGACAAAGATGCCACTGAACAGCATCAGAATAAGGTGAGAAAAAACTGATTTGCCCAATGGGAGTAGCTAGGTAGGAAATGTTCCAGGTGAGATATTTCTTGGCCTTATTGGAATCTTCTAAGGTTAATATATTCCAGTTCTTGTTCTTCCAGAAGGGAACTGCTTTAACAGTCACACTTCAACTTTACTTAACATTTCTTAAAAACCAGAGCTTGTTTCTAGCTTATTAAAAGGGAACTGAAGCCTAGTATCAGCTCTTGGATGGTGGAGTCTGGCTACCTCATATGGGAATCCCTAAAGCCTTCTAAGGAGGGAGAACATGCCAAACATGCTGGCCCAAATTGTGGATAACTTTACTTTGTGAAAGGGTCTATGAGGCGACAGAAAAGGGGACATACTATTTCTTTCTCTGTATTGTAAATAGCTGAGGGAACATGGTCTCTGCAAATATGAAGCAATTTGGGGTGAAATTTTAATCATTATTATACCCATTAGGGCTTTCTCCCTTATCTATTTCCATTTGACCCTTAAATTCTCTTACATTCCACAGTCATAGGTCCTGCCCTCTGTACCCGCTTTCCACATTTTTTCTTCTTCCTTGCCTCCCTCTTGGCCCTTCACCAATCCTGGTGACATTCTCAGCAATGTGGAGACTTCACAGTACAAGAAACCACTAACATAGATTGATAGAAATGTCAAGAGAAAAGGTTTGTTCTTACTTTAGTATTGGGTCCTTCTTAAAGTTTTCCTAAATGACAGATGTCAAGTAAACATTTTGAAAAGGTTTGCGAATATAATATCATAAGCCTTTAGAGGGACTTAATAATAACAGTAATGATTATAATAATAACAAAATGATGATAATAATAAGCAACTTCATTGAACACTATTATGTGCAAGGCACTGGTCTGATTTAACCCTTATAAAAAACTCTTATTAAGTAGGTGCTATTAATGTACCCCTTTCACAGATGAAGAAACTAAGGCATAGAAACATTAAGGTGACACAAATTTTAAGCAGAAGGATTAGAATTCAAACCTAGTCAGTCTGGCTCCAGAGTCTGTGTTTTTAACCACTGCACTGGTCTGACTCTGAATGATCATTCACCATCTGAGGCTCACCATCAACATCAAAGGAGCGGCCTCACCTAAGATATGTCCCTTCTCAGAGAACAGCCTATATCCAATGACTGGTTGGTGTGAGCACAAGGCCCAACCCCTGTGGGATCAGCAGAGGCTTCTGTAGCAACTGTACTGCCGTTGAACTTCCTCTACCCAATCCTGCTTCCCTCATTCCTTTATAGGTATTGTTCTGAGAGTATTCCCCAAGAAACCTCGTGCATATAAACCTCTGCTATAGGTCTGTTTCCTGGGATCAAACAAATAGCAAGTTATGAAGAAAATACGCCAACAAGAATTACATACCCCTTGTTCATCAATTCTGAAACACGAATAGGGGGGTTAAGAAAAGTCACAGTTTCCATTGTTCAACTGGGATTTAAAGTTCCTGAACATTAGCATGGACTCATGGAGACTTGCCCAGAAATGTGGGAATCCATAGTGTTAAGAGTAGGAGAAACATGACATACTTCCTAGAATCACCACAATGGTCTTCCTCTGCAGCAGCTGCCATCTACAGTGGAGAGACATTACTCCTTACTCCTCTTAACTTTCTATTTTGAATAGCTATGGAAAATATGACCATCACTATTTACTTAAGCAAATTCCTGGTGGCACTTTAATAATTTTCAACTATTATAATTTCTTCCTTCTATTCCTCATCATATTCTACTTCCACCCCCCCACCTTCCTCTTACTTTATTTCTTTTACTGTTTCCTCTTTTCTGATTTATTCTTTTTCTCTGCCCTGCCAGTAGTCCTGAGAATTTCCCTGAGCCTAGCACCACAGTGCAGAAAGCTGTCATGAAGTTGATGAGACTGACAGGAGAAAGGATTCTTACTTTAAGCCTATTTTTTCTCTCTAAGTTTTTCTAAAGTGCTTTTTGATTCCAAATAATCATACTCAGGGTTTTTGTAAAAAAAAAATGCATATTTTCCTGTGCTCTTGTGGAGGACAGTGATGTTTACATGGTTACCATTTTCTGGAAGATTCTGTGTCAGATCTTTAAGTTCCTCTTCTGTGAGGCTCATGCCCATATTTCCCAGAACTATGTCCAGCTTGTTGACATCAACCATTCCTCCTTGGGAAAGAGATGTGTATATAGACAAAATTTAAGGAATCCAAAAAGTGACAAAACCACTAATTCTTATGTATTACGATTAACCCTTTAGCATACAGGAGTAAGACTCAAGGCTCAGTAAATCTGATAAAAATGATAACAAAAATCAATAACAGGCATAATAATTAAAACCTCTTCAAATAAGTCTGGTTCCAAGGACTAAGCTACATGGCATAAAGTTTTAAAGGGGAAAATTAATTAATTTGAAGGTTACAGTAGTCCCCCCTTATTTGCGGATTAGCTTTCTACAGTGTCAGTTACCCACTGTCAAACATGGTCCGGAAGCAGATATCTTCCTGACCTATCATCAGAAGGTCCAGAGTAGTCTAACGCTACATCACGATGCCTATGTCATTCACATCCCCTCATCTCATCATTGTAGGCATTTTACCACCTCATATCATCACAAGAAGAGTGAGTACAGTACTACAAGATATTTTGAGAGAGAGAGAGAGAGAGACCACATTCATATAACTTTTATTATAGTATATTGTTATAACTGCTCTATTTTATTATTGTTGTTAATCTCTTACTGTGCCTAATTTATAAATGAAACTTTATCATAGGAATGTTTGTATAGGAAAAAAACATAGTATATATTGGGTTCAGTACTATCCAATAAGGGGAAACTACTGTTTAGTCAATTCTGTATTAGAGTCATATGGAGATGACAACTTTTGTATTTTTTTGACCAATAAGTGAAGTTTATTTTTGTTAGCTGAAACTTCAGATTATTTCTACTAATGACCAAATTACCTGCATAGGCTTCATTCATTTTTTTTCTCTAAGTTCAAAAAAATTCCCTAGGAGTACGAGACTTCTTCCCAGCACACAAAAGTAAAAATATAATAGTGAGTTACAAACAGTCTTATGAAGGAGTATAAGATCAATATAGATGCCCAGTGATATTCAAAATTTAATGACTAGGGAAGAGTGGAAATAAAAAACTTGACAGATTGCAGATCTATCTGTACTTTCTCACAATTCTTACTCACCTTTAAGAGACTTAACAGAATCCATTAGCCTATTTTGATAGATCTTTCCATCTGCTGTAAGAAATTGCACAATTAGGGTCACAAATTATGTAGGAATTCACTAAGATAAAATATAAGAGTTATAATTTTAAAAAGATATATTTGATTACTTACACTAGAAATATCCAATTTACTCTAAACAATGAAATCAAGAAATAAAGAAGATTCACAATGCAGATATTCCACCTACTCATCAACAGTAGAGACAGCTATTCTTGACTAATGCCCATACTGAAACATATTCTTTTTCATTTCTCTCTTTGACTTGTCTTTCTTCACCTCTAGTGCATACTTTCTGTTTCTCATATTCACAGTTTAATTTTTTTCCCTCTCAGTGGACTTGAAAGTGAAAATATGAATTTTTCCCCCTAATGGCAGGACTCATGACTGCTGTATTTGTTATTCCTAAACTGAGATGGAATTTCTTCATTCTGAGGCAGAGCAAGGTCATACTGAATATTGCAAGATATGTATTCTTTCTTCCACGATCAAATAAAGACAATTTTTAAACTTTTCACAAATATGTAATAGTAAGTTCCCTTAAAGTCTATACTAGTATTTGAAATTCTTACCATTTATTGGTAGATTTTTCAGCAGTGTCAACCATTCCTTTTTTGTGAGCTCTAATCCCATGTTTCCTAGACTATTTCCCACAACACTGACATCAATCTCCCCTCCTTCAAAAACACAAGATAGAATCAGATAAGAACTTTAAGGATGACCTAATTTCAAAATGTGAAAAAAAATCATCTGAGCCTGTTCCACATGAACTTTACTGCTTGATGAAGGCAGAGTGTAACATATCTAATTATATAACCAGTAGCATTCATCTAAATAAATCCCTTCCCTTAACACTATTAAAATGACCCATGTCATATTAATGGAGATAAAATTACACAATTACAAAAAGTGTGGACTATCAAAACAAGAAAAGAAGGAGTACATATTTTTCTAGTGAATTAGGATTTTATTAGGATTGATCCAAATAATTCCATCATCAGATTAGACAGTGTTTCTGATCATCTTTAAATAATATAATCACCTATATATTTATTAGAGCTTTACTTTACTATTCATTGATTTGATCTAGAATATTTTCCCCCAACATAGGAAAGGTGATATATTAAGGTCAAATTCAAAAAACAAAGAATTTGCTGCCAGGACACAACACTGAAATTTTATTACTAAAGTGTAGACAATCAAAAGCCTAACTCTAAGAAATTAGATTTAAAAAATTCTATCAAATGAAAGATAAAAAGGTAGAATAAACAAGGAAATAAAAATATCTTTGAAATATAATTTTGAATAAACTTTATACTCTTAGGTTAATATTAACTTCTCACCTGTAAGAGTTTTTACTCCATCCATCAACTTATCAAAATCAACCTTCCCATTACCTATAAGAAAAGATAAAAATAATAATGAAGTGACCCTAACTTAGAGAAACAAAGTATGAAACCCTTATATTGTGAAAGTCCACTTTTTCTCATTGTGCCCTATGTCAATCTTCAACTTATAAATCCTGGTTTTCAGAAATTCTATAATAGACACATGCCTTATTCCCTATCAGAGGTTGGTAAACTATGGAACACTGGCCAAATCCAGCCCACCATCTTTTTTTTTTTTTTAAGGTGCATATATCTTTTTACTTTTTCACCAACTATTTTTATATGACCCATGAGCTAAGAATCATCTTTACATTTTTAAATGGCTGAAAAACCCAAAAGGATATTATTTGTGACACATAAAAACTATATAAATTTCAAATTTTCATGTCCATAAATAAAATTTTATGGGAACACAGATGCACTCATTTGTTTACACATTGTTTATGGCTCCTTTTGCACTACAACAGCAGAACTGAGTAGTATGACAGAGATCACGTTGTCCACAAAGCCTAAAATATTATCTGGCCTTCACAGAAACACTGCCAACTCTGCCCTAGATGATGGAGTCTACAGAGTGACAATATATACTTCTGAGTTGTTTAGCTTCACCTTACTGTATAAACATGGGAGAAACCATTACTGATGTTGGCCATATTCTATGATCCTGCTCAATTATAATATAGCCATAAAGCCTACCTATCATTGTATAATAAATGGAAAAAAACAATAAAACTTTTATAATCTTTCATATATTCCCAATATAATTTTTAAAAATGTTTTATTTATTTATTTATGAGAGACAGAGAGACAGAGGCAGAGGGAGAAGCAGGTTCCCCGCTGAAGAGGGAGCCCAACATGGGACTTGATCCCAGGACCCCAGGATCATGACCTGAGCCGAAGGCAGACGCTTAACCATCTGAGCCCCCCCAGGAGCCCCCCAATATAATCTTTTAAACAAGTCTTCAATTACTATGATAATCGTGGAATGGCTAGTGACACATGACTGGTGTATCTTTGAAGTAACCGTTAAAGACTTTATTCATCTCGTCATAGGTCAATTTCCCTTCCTTTCTTATTTTCCACTACTTTTACTTATTTAGTCATTATATATTAGTTACTGACAAGTGGCCAAGTAGTCCCTAAGTGGAAGTGTGGTATTTAACAGGGTCACAAAGGTCACCACTGAAGCTGCTAGCTTGGCTTGCCACATTTCCGTAGATTTTGATGGTAATGGGACAATAAGCCCAAATGAATTAAGACAGTTACTTATAAACTAGAAGCAAGATCAGCACAGTGTTGATTCCTGCCTCTTTAGTCCCAGAGTACACTGAACAAGCTGGGCCAGATGACTGGTGGCATATACAATGAGTCGTTCTGCTGCTGAGGTACTCACTCAAAACTGTAAACGACCAGTTTTACAGACGTACACAGAACCCTGCAGCTGTACCCTAAGGGAGAGAGGTGGAAAGTCTGTGTTCAACAGAAACTAGGGAGATGAACGAGCAATGACCTTGTAACAGTCTCCTGCAGATAGGGAAGCAGATAGAGAAACTGTTTGGTGGCAGCTCCTCACAAGGCTGCTTACCTCCCCTTGTTCCAGGAGGAAACATGAAGCTTTCAACAAAGACTTACGTTAGATTTGCGTCAAGATGTGTTTACGTGGTCTACGTGGAGATGTCCATAGTTGTCAGAGAAGAGCCATTCCCCTCAAATTACATACTTAATAGTTGAAATATGCTAGGTCACAAGGGTACAAAGATAATTAAAGTGTACTTTCTACCATTACTTCAGAGTTTAGAAAAACTGGTATTCTGAGTAAATAAAATTCAGAGATAGTGTACAGATATGGAAGACTCATGATCCAATTGCCTGAAGTTTTCCCATACACACCACATAGTAATTTTCCTTTTCCATATATAACAAATTAAATTAGGGGATTATTATCTATTATTCTTAAGCAAAGTATTTTAAATATACATGTGTCCTACTTCAAAAGATAGATGACAAACTGCAATAAGAATATGAAAATCATCTAGGCCTAGAAATTTACTCACTTTTTCTTATCATTTAGAATGTTTATTTTATATTTATTGAATGATGTTTAGAATTAAACAGATTTTTAAAATACTCTTATGCAAACACAAAAATATGTGAAACAAACTTGCAATTACTATAATTTCATTTTTAGAGTCTAATTCTTTTGCATTGCTGTTCAATATTTCAACTCAGAATCTCTGGTGTCTATATCTTTTTGAATTAGCATTTTCGTTTTCTTTGGGTAAATACCCAGTAGTAGAATTATTGGATCATATGGTATTTCTATTTCTAATTTCTTGAGGAACTTCCATATTGTTTTTCACAGTAGCTGTGTCAATTTACATTCCCACCAAAAGTGCATGAGAGTTCCTTTTCTTTTACATCCTCATCAACACTTGTTATTTATGTTTTTGATTTTAGCCATTCTGACAAGTGTGAGATGATATTAGATTGTGGTTTTGATTTGCATTTCCCTGATGATGAGTGATATTGAGCATCTTTTCATCTGTCTATTGGCCATCTGTATGTCTTCTTTGGAAAAATGTCTATTCAGGTCCTCTGCCCATTTTTAAATCAGATTGTTTGGTTTTTTTGGTGTTGAGTTGTAAAACTACTTTATATACTTTGGATATTAACCCCTTATTGGATATATCATTTGCAAATATCTTCTCTTATTCGGTAGGCTGCCTCTTTGTTTCATTGATGGTTTCCTTCACTGTGCAAAAGCTTTTTATTTTGATGTAGTCCCAATAGTTTATTTTTGCTTTTATTTTCTTTGCCTTAGAAGACATATCTAGAAAAATATTGCTATGGCTGATTACAAAGAAGGTACAGAAAAGTAGAAGAGGGGAAGACTAGAGAGGGAGAAAGAAACCCCAATCGTTATGGTCAGATTTACATTGAATGGATCATTCTGTCTATTATGTGAAGAGTGGATATGAAATAACAAAATTGTAGGCAGAGAGAGAGAGTTATCTAGCAGTCTAAGCAGAGATAAAAAGAAATAGAAATAAGGGCAGTGATACAGAGCTAAGGAGTAGGAATGGATTTAAGAAATATTTAGTGGTTCAATGAATCACAGAGGGAGGAGCAAGATGGTAGAGGAGTAGGAGACCTAAATTTCGTCTGGTCCCTGGAATTCAGCTAGATACACATCAAACCATTCTGAACACCTACAAACTCAACAGGAGATCGAAGAAAAGAATAGCAGCAACTCTCTGAACAGAAAAGTGACCACTTTCTGGAAGGTAGGACGTGCGGAGAAGTGAATCTGAGGCGATATTCGGGAAGACAGATGGCGGGGGAGGGGGCCTCTGTCAGCCGCTACTGGCAAGTGATAGAGCCGCAGAGCACAAAATCAGAACTTTTAGAAGTCGGCTCCACTGAGGGATGTAACTCCAGTGGCTAAGCGGGGGGTGGAACCCTCGCGGGACAGTGTGGTCTCAGGACCCTCGGGGTCACAGAAAGACTGGGGGTGCCTGAGAGCGGCAGAGCTCCCAGGTATTGGAGCAGGGAAGCTGGCTGCAGAGACGGAGCTGAGGTGCGGGCTCTCAGCTTGGGGTTGCCATAAACTGTGATCCACGGCACAGTCAGGCCCCTACTCCTCCAGCAGGGACCCAACAAGCGGCAGAGCCGGGGAGACTCCCCTTCCTCTCCCGGGAGAAGCGGCGCGGGAGCGCACCGCAGGGATCTGCTGGGTTTGGAGACTCCACACCGAGTCGGGTGCCAGAGATAGAAACGCTCAGTCACAGGCCGGGTGAGCACGGAGTGCAGCCAGAGACTGGGGAGACGGGAGTGACTGACTTCTTTTCTCTGGGGGCTCACTGAAGAGAGTGCCCCAAGTTCTTGGCTCCTGGCGGGGGGAGATTGGGAGGCTGCCATTTTCACTCTCATCCTCCAAAGCTGTACAGATAGCTTGCAGGGAACAAAAGCTATGGAGAACAAACCCCAGCAGATTACTGAGCCCGAACAGGCAAGGGCAGGGCAATTCTGCCCCGGCAAAGACATTTGGGAACCACAGCAACAGGCCCCTCCCCCAGAAGATCAGGAATAACAGCCAGCCAAGACCAAGTTTACCGATCAATGAGAACAGCAGAACGCCAGCACTAGGGGAATACTGCACGTAGAATTCATGGCTTTTTCCCCATGATTCTTTAGTCTTTCAAAGTTAATTTTTTTTAACTTTCTTTTTCTTTTTTGAATTTTTCTTTTCCCCTTTTTCAAAGAACATCTTATCAAACACTTTTTAAAAAAATTTTTTTTATTTTTCATTTTTAGGGTCATATTCTATCCCTTCATAGTAGTTAACCTTATTTTTGGTATATATATATAAATTGTTCTCTCTTAAAAATTTTGGGATACAGTTTCTTCTAACAGACCAAGATATACCCTAAATCTCTAGTGTATGGCTTTGTTCTAGTCTCCTGCCTGATCACATTCTCTCCCTTTTTTTTTAAATCCTCTTCTTTCTTTTTTCAACCAACTTCTTATCTTATCAATTCCTTTCATAAAATCTTTGATAATTTTCATCTTTACAATCATATTCCATCCCTGCATCATATTTACCCTTATTTTTGTACATATATAAGTTTTCCTTCTTTAAAATTTTGGGAGGCAGTTTCTTCTAACTGACCAAAATATGCCCAAAATCTAGTGTGTGGCACTGATCTATGCACCAGCCTGATCATATTTGATCATATTCTGATTTTTGTTTGTTTGTTTATAACTTTTTCTTTTTTTTTTCTTCTTTTCTTTCTTTCCCTTTCTTTTCCCCCAGTTTCAGGTCTCTTCTGATTGTTTAGTGTATATTTTTCTGAGGTCGTTGTTACCCTATTAGTATTTTGTTCTCTCACTCATCTATTCTCCTCTGGACAAAATGACAAGACAGAAAAAAAAAAAAGACCTCAAAAACAAAACAAAACAAAACAAAACACCAAGAGGCAGTACTGACTGCCAGGGACCTAATCAATACA